AAGGCAACTGCAACCTGCTTCATAGTTGGGCCTTGGGAAAAGGAAGCCCAGGGGAGAGAGTGGTGACAGTGTTGAAGAGGAATGGAAAAGTGTTGAAATCTCTAAGGCTTGTACTGGAGAGAGAAAACAGGTGTTGACCTGGGCTGGGAAAGGGCCTTGGAGGTTGATGGTCCACTGTTTGCACAAGAAGCCCTTGGGTTAGGCCACTGTCCTTTCAGGTGCCTCTTCAACTCTTTAGATTAAATGCTCCCTAATACCAGATTTAGCAAACAGAATAAACAAAACACTTGGGACACCAGGTAAATTTGAATTTCAGATAAACAACCAAAAAAAAATTTTTTTTTGAGTCTTGCTTTGTTGCCTGGGCTGAAGTGCAGGGGTGTGATCTCCGCTCACCTCCCGGGTTCAAGTGATTCTCCAGCCTCAACCTCCCGAGTAGCTGGAATTACATGCGCCCACCACCATGCCTAGCTTTTTTTTTTTTTTTTTCTCCAGATGGAGTTTCACTCTTGTTGCCCAGGCTGGAGTGCTGTGGCGCAATCTCGGCTCACTGCAACCTCTGCCTCCCGAGTTCAAGCAATTCTCCTGCCTCAGCCTCCTGAGTAGCTGGGCTTACAGGCGCCTGCCACCATGCCTGGCTAATTTTTGTATTTTTAGTAGAGACGGGGTTTCACCATGTTGGCCAGGCTGGTCTCAAACTCCTGACCTTAGGTGATCCACCCGCCTCGGCCTCCCAAAGTGCTGGGATTACAGGCGTGAGCCACCGTGCCCAGCAACAACAAATAATTTTTTTAGTATGGTTATCTAGTAATCTGACTTCAAAGGCTGGTTCTCTGAGGAAAAGCATGTGTTTTGTTTTTATGCTTTCCTTTTTCTTGACCTTTATCTCTCATGGGGTCTATTGCAAAGGCCTCCTGATCTTCTTGCCTGTAGTCTGTATATTCCAGGTCAGTCTGCATTCTAAAATACCAGTCAGATTTCATAATACGCCTGCTTAGAGAAAATTAGTGCTGAAAGGAATTTTAGACTCTCTCCTTTGTTCCTGGGACACTTGTGAGGAAAACTGGGCAAGGGTCTTGAAGAATCCTTGAAGTTTGATAATAGGTTGAAGGCCAGTGCTAGTGTAATTTTTCATTCTCTAAACATGTATCACACTCTAGGCCCAAGGTATTCAGCACAAAACCCCCTTCCTCCCTGCCTTCACCTGTATCATACAGCTGTGGCCCGCCCTCCTCCAGGCCTTGGCTTTTCCAGAGAGACTGAAGATATAGGTCCTAAGAACGCCCCTTCCCAACCAACTACTGCACACACAACCACCATGCTGTTTGTATGTCAGGGTTCAATCAAGAGAGACAAATGACACAGTATCAACAGGGAGAGTTTACTGTAAAGAATTATCAACTCTAGTTGATAACGGGGGATTGGAGTAATGAGGAATTGGCTAATAAGCAGAGAGAACTCTAAAGCACATAGGAAGAGCAGATGTTAGGAGCAGCTGTTACTCCTAGAGTTAGAGTACATAGGGAAGAGCCCTAGCCACCAGGTCTGAGATCCAGACATTGTTGAATATATATATATATAAAATCAAGATTATATATATATATAATCGATTATATATATATATATTTATATATATATATATATATATATAAAATCTTGGGGTGATGAATTGGGTGCTTTTGGGATTTCAGTGACTACAAGCCTTTCTGTTCTAGACTTTAGGTCTCTTCTCATCTCCTGGAAGCGCTGGCTCTTCCCTACCTCTCAGACCCTCTCTTCTGACTCTGTTCTGCCCATGCTTAGGTTGAACTGCCTTCTTGCTGGCTACCTCAAGGTGGGTTCTGGGGTAGGCCCATGTGGAAGCTCTGCGGGAACATGCTACACTCTCAGGCAGTACACATAGTGCCCTCTGCCTGGAGGCCACCCGCAACCTGCACCCTCTGTAGAGCCTGGGTGGGACTTAGAAGAAGGCCTTTCTTGTGGGAGAGAGGGTTCACAGAATGGTGTCTGGTAATGCCTTTAACTGGGGAGGAAGACCTGAGAGTCAGACTTCTTTGGGCCTCTGTGAGCTCCAAAGGATAGGGATGAGGATATTCCTGGTTCATCCTGCTTTCTGGGAGGCCAAACCTCTGTTTGGGGAGCCTTACCATGCTTCACTGGAAGAACCGGAGGGGCAGCAGTAGAGGCGGGAGCTGGGAGGGGTTAGGGCAGGCAGTCAGGTCTGTGGTTCTAGCTATCTTAACGGGTGCTCCTGGAGAGCTGCCATCCCCCCACATCCCCTATGGGTGAATATCTGGCCAGACCCTAGGACTCCTGCTTATCACAAAAGGGTCAGAGGCTGAAGGCGAGGTCCTGCCTTGGCAGTGCTGAGGAAAACATTAGGGGCCTTTCTTCTTTTATCTTTCCCGTCTACCTTTCCCCCATCTCCTTTCTCTTCTCTGTTGTCTGAACTGGCTTTCCTCTTGAAATTAAACTCCTTGAGAGTATATGCTTTGAATTAAAATCCAAAGGGGAGGCTGGGTGCGGTGGCTCACGCCCTAATCCCAGCACTTTGGGAGGCTGAGGTGGGCAGATCACCTAAGGTCAGGAGTTCCTGTCCAAAAAAAAAAAAAATTCCAGAGGAAAGCTTTAGGACTTTCTGAGGGAACCCCTTCTCCCATCTCCTCATGGATATGTTTAAATCTTGAGCTGATAATCACTTACACTAAAGGGTAAGAAACTAAATCACCCGGCATAGTGGCTCATGCCTGTAATCCTCACAAGGTCAGGAGATCGAGACCATCCTGGCCAACATGGTGAAACCTCGTCTCTGCTAAAAATACAAAAATTAGCTGGGCGTGGTGGTGCATGCCTGTAATCCCAGCTACTCGGGAGGCTGAGGCCGAATTGCTTGAACCAGGGAGTGTGAGTTTGTAGTGAGCGGAGATTGCACCACTGCATTCCAGCCTGGCGACAGAGCGAGACTCCAAAAAAAACAAAAAACAAAAAACAAAAAAAACCCCCAAACACCAAGCCTAAATGGAGCATTTAGTGAATCCTTTAAAGAGACCTCATGGGGATCTTAGCTGTCCCAGGTTGCCCACACAGTTTGAGGCCTATGACTGGGGGCTGCTGCCACCATTAAGGGTCCCAGAGCTGTCCAGGGCCTCAGTCTCCACCCTCAGGAGTCATCCTGCCCTGCTTCACAATGCTCCCCTCTCCTTCCTTGCCCCTGGAACAGGTGGTCAGCCAGAGTCCCCAGCACACCTGACTGGGTCACTAGCCAGGGTGTGATGTAGGTGGGAGAGCCCACCCAGGCATAAGTGGGAGCCTCTACCCTAATCCCTGCTGGGTCCATGGAGCTAGCCATAGTAGCAGAACCTTTTTTTTTGTGACGGAGTTTCGCGCTCGTTGCCCAGGCTGGAGTGCAATGCCGCAATCTCAGCTCACTGCAACCTCCGCCTCCCGAGTAGCTGGGATTACAGGCATGTGCCACCATGCCCAGCTCATTTCATATTTTTAGTAGAGATGGGAGTTTCTGTGTTGGTCAGGCTGGTCTCGAACTCTTGACCTCAGGTCATGTGCCCGCCTCAGCCTCCCAAAGTGCTAGGATTACAGGGATGAGCCACCGCGCCCAGCCTCAGGTGTTCTTTCAGCAGTGTACCTTTACACTTGGTTCCCTCTGCTTGGTGTATTCTTTTCTCTATACTTTCCCGTCTTACAAGATCCAGCTCATCGACCTCTTCCCTATGCTCCCATCCTTACAAAGGATGCCTTCGTTGGTATGGCAAGCCGTCAGCACATGGCAGCTGAATGAAAGGCTGACCCAGAGGTGGTCAGGTTTACTCACCTTGTCCCACACAACCAGTGACTGAGGATCACAGGGACACAGGCCTCAAGAGACCCTGGGAACTGTAGCAAGCAGTAGGTGGGGCTGGAGGACCCTCGGCTGATAGGAGAATTTCCTGTGCCCCACTGAGGGGCAATTTGGGGATAAACTCTTTCATGAGGTAGGAAGGACATAGAGGAGGTAGAGATGGAAGCCTAGGCTATGGCAGTCACCTCCTTCATACAGAACTCTTAAGCATCAGTCTCCTCTGGGGTGGGAGGGAGCCTGGCGTTTTGCACTTGTTGGGGTTGTCGGGGAAGGGGAAGTCGTCGTGCTTTAGCACTGGAAAAGGCAGAGGGAGCTGAACTGGGGGTTCAGTTCTGCAGTCACTGTCCAACCTGTAGCCTTCTGCTAGACCCCCACTGCCCACCTCCCTTAGCACCTTCAGACACCCCACATCACAGTCAGGATTCAAGTTTGGGTTGTCCTGACCAAAATTTCCTTCCCAGTCCCCAGTAAGTACAACGTCCTAGCAGTTTAGAGTGAAAGGCAGCCCAATGACAACTGGCTTGGCTGGGCGCTACCAGGTTCTTTTCTCTTCCGCAACACAGGGAAAAAGGGAAGTATGTGCCAGGGCCCAAGGGCCCAGAATGTTGCCCAAGACAATCCTCCTCGAGTTTTTGTGGGCATGGTATTATTTCTGCAGAGCTCCGAGGAAGTCAAATTCTTCACCTTCTGCTCAAAGCCACAGGCTCTCCAGAATTTTAACGCAAGTAGGAAGAAACAGACTCTCAACCACACAAGGGGTATATCAAGACATCATTAAAGTGGCTGGGTGCAGTGGCTCACGCTTGTAATCCCTGCACTTTGGGAGGCTGAAGCGGGCGGATCACCAGGTCAAGAGATCAAGACCATCCTGGCCAACATGGTTAAACCCCGTCTCTATTAAAAATACAAAAATTAACTGGGTGTGGTGGCACGTCTGTAGTCACAGCCACTTGGGAGGCTGAGGCAGGAGAATCGCTTGAACCAGGGAGTTGGAGGTTGCAGTGAGCCAAGATCCCGCCACTGCACTCCAGCCTGGTGACAAGAGCGAGACTCTGTCACAAAAAAAGAAAAAGTAAAAAAAGACATCATTAAAGTAGCCATGGCATTTTGAGGCACCCCAAATAAAGAGAGTCCTGGGTGGATCTGAGCAAACGATTTGTTATAATGAACCAGAAATACAAGATTCCACTGCAACTGGAACAGTTGCTAGAATATGGTTGAACTTAATTGAACCTTCAAGGGAAATAAAGGTGAAACAAAGCTAATGAGTGGGAAAGTCCAAAATTAGTTTGCGATAAACATGAGGATATAATTGCATTTTAGCATGGGTATCTTCTGACCTCTTCCAGCAGTTCGTCTGCCATCATTCTTCCTTCTGACACACCTACCAAATCAAATGGCTTCTTCCTCTATAATGCAGTATAAACCAACCCTATAGTATCCCTCTGGCCATGATACACACCCTGGAGAAAAGTTTGTAAATCTCATACAAGGGTAGAAAGTGCAATTCAACCCAGCAGGCTGGTTATGGTATATGTGGTGTCAATGTACATGACAGCAACTTCAATCAAATCAGAGCTGCTACCACAGGTAAGCAACCTCTTATGCTGCCCTGTAGTGATGTCAGTGTTCTCAGTTTACTAAATTATCAACGTGGAAGAATGCATTTTTGAGCTCCAGACTTTCTAAATATTTTAAATAGGCTATCAAAGAGGATGTAACAGAACCCTATCTCAGAAACCTAAGCATCAGGGAGAACACTGACCGGTTTTTCTGGCATCTTTCTGTGGGGGCAACAGAGATGAACAAAAGAAATGTTAGCATGTCATAGCATATGACAAGCGAGGGGAGACAGAGGTAGGAAGAGGATGTTCTAGCCACAAGGCTAATGCATTTGTGTTCAAAGAGAAGTCTGGGCAAAGGAGGGGAACCCCCCCCCCAAAAAAAAACAAAAACAAAAAACCAAATCAAAGGACAAAAGGGTTTCATACAACACAGTATCAAAAAGTAACACACTAAATGCACAAGCTGGTGGCAAGTAAGTCCACAACCTATTGTGATAGGTCCATCCAGCATCAATCAGATTTCTTCTCATCTGTTATCTCAAGGTTATTTACAGATGTGTTGACTAACAAGAGTCTCTCATGGGAGGGTGGGCAGGCTTCAATCATTGGTTTCGGGATCTGTCTGCGCCATGTAGGCATCCAACTCAGCATCCAGGTGTCCTTTTGTTTTCGACATGTATGCATCCAATTGGTTGTCCAGTTGCTCCTTGGTCAATACAGGGCGAGTTAGGGCACCTCTCCCTCGTCCACGGCCTCGGCCTCGGCCTCCAAAGCCCCCTCTTCCCCGACCTATCATACCCCGACCTAGCCCAAAGGGGGGGAAAAAAAAAAAAGAAAAAGAGACAGTTACAAGTAAGTTTAATAGGTGCTGTAGTAAATGCCCCTTAGAGCAGTGGGGCCTAGCTGAGAAAAGCTGAAGGGCAGGGCAAAGAGGAGAAATCTGGAAAAACAGGAAACACACTGGGTAGAAAGCAACACATGGAAAGCACACATAATGAATCCTCTATCACATGATCATCTCTAAATGCTATTTTAACCATTTTTATTCTATCAATAAAGGAAAATAATTAACTGACAACTATAATTTTAAAAAACCTTAATCGATCCTCAGATAAAATTACCTAATATTTGAGATTCACTAAGTTCGTAATTAAAATACGTGATAGATAACCCCATTTAGTAAGATAGAGAGGTGGTAACAAGGGCACAGAGAATGAGGGGTGTGAAGATAAGACAGTTTTCAAATTAAGTTTACTGGAGACCCTTCTGGAAAGTCATCTCATCTTTCCTTAAGCTTATCAAGTCTAATGAGCTAACTGACCTCATGTGTCAGGAGACTGAGGAGTTTTTCTGACATAGGAACAATGTAGGGGAGATTTGAAAAAATATTTTGAGTTGTCCTAGCTATTTCTACCTCTAATTCTAGTTACCTTATGACAACTGACAATTGTGGTTATCTGAGTAGTCTGAATTCAGTTAACAAAACAAACTCAGCTTTTTGAAAAGTTATTTTAGTCTCTGCCACCCTCGTGATGTCTCTCTATCAGAATCCAAGTCAAGATAATTTGGAAACATGTTATTTCATCCTGAAACCCAAACTAGCTCGCACTTCACTCAGTAAGCCAAGTATCATATAATGGGAGAGAAGAAAACAAGCCCCTGGTTATCAACTTTTCTAAGTTATTATTATTCCTTGGCAACTTCAAGGTCAGAAGTTATGGAAGACCCAAGACACCTTTTAAGAGAACCAAAGCAAATATACACAGGGGCTACAGTAGTGTTTTTTTCCTGGACAGGTGTTGTTGGAAGTTTTCCAGTAAGCTCTGAACCAGAAGGCTCCCATGAGATTTAGTATTAACAGCAGCAACACCATTCAACTCTTTGCCAATCTGGGTCATGAGGTCACAAGACAGACTTCAATAAATTTCAAAGGCAAGATTATCAACAAGAGCCAGTTAGTTAACTGATGATAATTCCATCTTGCTCTCTACCTTGAGCAAAAAAAGTCATCTCTGGTTCTCCACAGGCAAAAATGTGACACTGAATTTATCTGGTTTCAGAGCCAATGCCCAGCTCCAAGTCTCACCACCCTCTTAACTCTGCTTCACCTTTGTACCTCTCTCTCTTCTATATTCTCATGTGACTCAAACCAGGATCTGGAGCTACATGGTGGTGTGTGGTGGGGCAGGGGCAGAGAAAGGTAAAACCTAAACTGACCATTTTGAGGGGTATTTTCAACTGTACAATTTAAATTTGCAAGAGCCTGGAGGAAGATGGTGTATATGTATAATCTGGCTCTATAATATGCACTTGATTGATTCTTGGAAAAATCATGAGACTTTTGCACTACCAGCATGGCAATTTGAAAAATAAGCCAGTTTCAAATAACAAAACAAGACAAACAAAGAAGCCTGCCTATGACTTGAAGCTGTGCAGAAAGGTGGCTCTGAGTTTTTAAGGGAGGAAAGTAAAGGGGAGCTACTCTCTGAAGTTGGTAGCTGACTAACCTCTACCACCGATTCCGCCACGACCCATAGCTCCACGCCCTAGGCCCCCTCTCCCAGGACCTCCACGACCTCGAACACCACCTCTTCTTAAGCCCATTCGGGGAGCTACGGCTCGTCCACCTCGGAGCAGGTTTTGACCTTGGAGAGGAGGCATACAATGTATATGCAGGTAAATCCAAGAGACACAAAGTAGATTCTAACCAAAGGAAGGCGGTGAGGGTTAAATGAGGGTAATTCAGTTAGTTTTTCGGTTGGTTGGGGCAAGCTGCATACTGCAAATAGATTAAGCTACTCTTTATTCAATCAATTCAACAAGTCTGACCACAAATCCATTTTTGGAAGAAGTTGGGAGTTAATTCAATCAGTAAGTGCATACATTTAATAAATATCTACTGAATAATCAGATAGATGCCTAGCATTATGGTAAATTTAAAAATAAATGCTATGGTTCCTGATCTCAACAGATTATTCTAGGGAACAAGAACTATACAGGGAACAGAACAAGAGTGCCCCAAATGAACATACATAGGTAAGTGCTGTGGGTCAACTTGTCCTCTTTTTCCAGCTGTATCAGTGTTTTACTAGCACCAGGAACAAAGAGTTAAGATACAGGTCAAAAGACCTATAAATTTCTTACGTTTGACTTACTTCTAGAACTTGAATGTGCTTTGATTCAAGCAGCAGCAGGGTGTTTTAAAATGGAATGGAGATGACATGAATTACCTGTTGTTACGCAGGTCATAGCCTCTCACCATTGTACATTATCAGAAAAGGAATGGTATCGATAAAAGACATGCAACACTATTAAAAATATGTGATTTCACAAGTTATTATATTAATACAAATTCAGGCTTAAAGATGTTAAACAAACGTGTCCATAAGCAGCCCAAGAGAAAAGGGAAGGGAGTAGGGCCTGACAATTATCAGGGTACACAGCACTGACCTCGGAGCGACATCCCGCCCCTAAGTAGGGTTCTGGTAGCACGTCCCCCACGTAGTCCTCCTCTGGGCAAGCCTCTCTGGATTATGGGTAGGCCTCGTCCTCCGATGGCTCCCCTGGCCAGGGCCCCTATGGGTCGGCCTAACCGTGCCTGGATGTTACTCTTACCCAGGCGCTGCTTTAAGCTCTTCTGGAAGAAAAGGTGTTAGGGGATTGAGATCAAAAAAGCAATCCAACAGGATTTGGCAACTCAAAGTGCAGAGAAAAAGAAGCAAGTGAGATGCTGGTGTGAAGGGAGATAAACCTGCTGTGGGTGTCGTAAGGATCCCAAACCAGAAGCAAGCCTTTGCCTCAGAACATGTTATACAAGCAGCAGAATTTTGATCCAGAGCAGAAACTCCAAGAAGCTCAAGGGTGGTCCCATGAAATGGGCATCTCCACAAATTACCTCACTAGTTTGGCTACGTATGTCATACACTGCCAGTTGAAATTTAAGTTTCAGTAAGAACATTCTATAGTTCAATCCTGGATTGTACTGCTTTTCAACTACAGGTTGACGATTATATGACTTGATTCATACCTGCCCATGGACTACCACTGTCTTCAAAGGCTTACTCAAACACCACAGGAAGTTCATCATACTCTGGGCAAAACTTAAATTACAAGTTCACTTGAGTTCTTGTCACTTAACAACAACATTGATTTCTCAAAGAGGCCCGTGTGCTCCATTTTTCCTCTGGGAATCTATTTCCAGACGGTCCACTTTTTACCTTAAGATGTAAATAAACACAAGAAAGTCAAACCTCCTTTCATTTCTTAAAAATCCCTAATTCCATGCCTGCACTTGCAAACAGCTCCTTTAAAACAATATGATGACCTTAAATTCAAAATAAACATGTAACTCCAATATATCTCCACAGCCAGCCAGCCAAACATACGTTAGAATTATTTGGGTGATTACAAAACTCAGGGCCATATACGAGGACAAGGACACACTACAGAGATAGAGTATTTTTAAGAATCTGTTCTCAGAAAACCATTAAGACTACATCTGAATTAAATTCCTTCAAAGGAAAAAGGGACAGCAATAGCCCTGAACACAACCAAGGTCCTAGCAAGCCTAATCGTCCATAAAGTCATCAGTCAATATGAAAGAAAGTTAGTTCTATGGCCCCTTCAGGCTCCACCCAGAAGTGACTACCAATGTGTGTGTGTTTTCTAATCATACCTCTCAAAAAACATGCTGTGAAGCATTATTGTTAACTTTCTAGCACAAGATCATAAATCGCTTCTTATCAGTGGGAAAGGCTCCAAACATTATGCATCTAGCATAAGTAGGTGTAACCAACCATAACGGCCTGTCCTATTACTCCCCTGATTAACACACAATTATGAGGTCAGACTGCATTCCACAAGTCTCTTGCATTCAGTTATCCTGCATATATTAATTTCCCAAGCTTTGTGCTTTAAAGGGAGAACTGTACAGTGCTCGGAAGTTCTTTATCCATTCCAATCCTTAACTGCCACCAATACTGGCCTTTAATATTAACAGGAAACTTAAGGATGTCAACTCTACCACTTAGTTTTCACTCTAGAGCTGTGCTGCGTAAGACAGCCTCTAGCTACATGTGGCTATTTAAATTATTATTATTTTTATTTTGAGACAGAGTCTCGCTCTGTCGCCCAGGCTGGAGTGCAATGACACGATCTTGGCTCATTGCAACCTTCGTCTCCCAGGTTCAAGCAATTCTCCTGCCTCAGCCTCCTGAGTAACTGGGATGGCTGGCTCCATGCCTGTAAATTCCAAAACCACTTTTGGGGAGGCCTTGAGGCAAAGGGAGAAAAATCACTTAAAGGTCCAAGGAGTTTCAAAGACCCATTCTGCCTTGAACGCAACCATTGGGCCCCAAAAACCCCGTCCCCCTCTACTAAAAAATACCAAAAATTTGGTCAGCCCATTTGGCGGGGGGTGGGCCCTGTTAATTCCAGCCCTCTGGGAGGCTGGAGAACAGGAGAACTGATTGAAACCCGGAGGTGAAGGCCTGCCGGGTGGAGGCCTGAGAATTGCCCACCTGCCACTACCAAGCCTGGGTTGACAGATGAGACTCCCATCTCAAAAAAACAAAAAACCACATAAAAAAATTTCCCCTAGTGACTATTACTAACTCTGGATCGTGACTACCTTCCCCTGCAGAGCCTATACTGTAAAAGCTTCTGTTGAAAAGGTCTTTTTGGAAATGATCCTGGTTCCAA